CTTTTCATCAAAGTTTTACTTTCAGTTTGTATGTCTAATCGATAATCATAACACTCTTAATATTTTACATATATCTCATTTCAAGATAAAGTTTGTACTTTCAGCTTTTACTACTCAATTACTAGAAGAAACTCTTAATATTTAAATTATATCCTCATTAGAATAAAGTTTTATTTTAGTGTTTTAATTCTCATCTTTATATAATGAATTAATAAATAATCAAATACATAATAATACATATAGTAACTCCTTCAATCATTTAATTACTATCTCATTGGTAAATAAAGTTTTATTTCAGTTTTATTCTACTTTTATAATAATAATAATAATAATAATAATAATAATAATAAACTCTAAATGAATTATATTTAATTTAAATAAAGTTTTATTTATTTAGCTTTAAATAGTTTTGTCATGTTTTTGTGACATTCTGTGTGCTGGTTTAATTCAATTAATATGTTAATAAAATTAATAAAAGAAGAATGAAACACAGGATGCGCCAAACCAGCATGATAAGAATAAATACTAATAAAATACATACATATAAATACAAATAAATGAAGACAAAACAAAAGCTCAATCTCTCTTTATTCTATAACAAAATCTGCCCTTTGATATTGTATAGTTATTATTATATTTTTATCTTTGCACATAAGAGAAAATCATTGACTATGAAATGGACTAAAGAGATAATGAATAAATGAATGAATAACTAACTGAATAATTGAATGAGGATCAGTTACAAACCTTCTCAGGTATCCATTCATACTCAGTGTGGATCGATGCTGCCTCCGTGTGGTTAAAATGAGTCACTGCAAAACACTGGAGGTCTTCAAATGTTTCAGTTTTTGCACAGGATTCAATTTCTAATGTGATTTTCTTTTTTAAAATGTTCAAATAAAATAAAATTCTCAGCGTATTCTTTAGAAACGATGATAAAAAGCATCATTTTGTACCAAATATATGCCACAAACTCCCAGAAAGCTTAAAGTCTGCTCCAGTTTTACTTCAAACATCTGTTTGCAGCTGCTTTTATTAAGTTAAATCTCTAACTGGACTCTAATTATTTATTGTTTTTTAAAATTTAAACCTGTTGGAAGCTGCAAAAACCTATAAAACCACCAAAATACATACAGTACACACACTCTTGTGCAGTTTTATCATACAATATAAAGAACTAACATTAGAGTTTGGCATCATCTCACCCAGAAAAGAGCCTTTATGTGAGTAAATGTTAAAATAATGTGTTATAAAAGACATTATCAGATATGTTAAGCTCTAAAATGTCCGTAAGAAACCCAAAATCATCCTGTTACTGAGGAAAAGTTCATTATTCTCCCTGGAAAGTCATTTTTTATAACAGCAGCTGCTTTACGTATAAAATATAAAAGAGAAACAGGAATAAAATAGAAAATTAACTCAAAAATGACCTCATTACTTATATTACAACACCATGGCAACGGCTGCACGAGCTTCTGTTTAAATCTGTTTTTAACTTTATGTGCACGTGTCGTATTTTAACGACTCCTCCTCGGGGATTGATCGGATCGACTTCAAATGTGGTCAGTATGATGTTAACACCATCACGATTAAAGGTTGAGCTCAGTGTGACTGTTCGTCAAACGGCGTGCACGTGGCTCGGCGTCAAGTTCTGACGCTCGCCATGAAAACAGGAAGTTGTCATAACTTCAGTGTACTTTGTCCAATGTCACCTGAACTTCTCATGTTTGATAAAAGTCCCGACTGAACACATCAACATGCAAATATTAGGTAAGTTAATAAGTAAGCCTTGTTATCAGCAAACTTTAATTAAGTTGAACAACCTTCTGATTATAACCATAAATACATTTAGCTTCATCTTTAACAGTGACAGAAGATGCTCCGGGACATATCTGAGCCAATGTGGACCCGTTTGTTGAGCTGAAAAGATAAAATGTTGACTTATGTTGTGTTTGTGTCTCGGTGGTGAACGTGGGATAAAGAGAAAGAAGCATTGAAGAGGCCGAGTGTCGGTCAGTTTCTTTGTTTTATTGGTGATAACTTGTTCCGTTACAGTTTCTGGACAGCTAGCGTGTTATCATCTACCAACAGAGACATTCTCTCGGTGTCTTGCAGACGGAGGCCAGGTTGTGGTCATTGAACAGGTTTTAAGTTAAAAAACCTGAAGAAGTGGCCTAGTGACACACACTCACACACACACACTCACTGACACACACACACACACTCACTGACTGACACACACACACACACACACACAGACGGCAGCTGGGACGGTTTCATATGAGTGGAGCGTTGTTTTCTTCTTCAGAGCCGCGAGCAGCAAGCCTTCTGGGGATCTAAGTGCTGCTGTTGGTCGTCAGGGCGCGACAGTCACTGGGACAGGAAGTCCAGAGCGGTGTCTCGCTCCTCCACCAGCTCGGCCGCCGTGGCGTCCATCTTGGCGCGGGAGAAGTCGTTGATGGGGAGTCCGTCGACCATTTTCCAGGTCTTGTTCTGGTGGGAGACGACAGAGGGAGAGATTAAAGGTTGAGCTTCTGATTTTGGTGGAATTTGGTCAATTTCTGTGTCTCTAGTTTCTTTTTAAAAATAAATTCCTGAGCGAGAATCCCCCCGAATAACATCAACGAGAGTACAATTACGGTAAAAGGACATTACTGTTGATTTTACTTAGTTTTAGTCCACATTTTACTGTATAAACACAAGTTTTTACCATCAACAGAAGCAGTTTCTACCATGAGATACAAACTACTTTCTTCCATATAATTCCTTAAAAATGCCGTATATAAAT